CCATGTATGTCTTTTATCTACATTGAAGTCAACTCAAGGAAAGAAATTGTATTTTTCATTTAAGACAATTTTTTAAAGAGAAGGTCCCATTATAAGATACAAGTATTGAGCAAAATGTTGAAAAAAGATGTCCAGTAAACTCACTTTTCTAGCTTGTTCATTGTTCAGAGAGTTCTAAGCAAGCCTTCCAAATTTAACTTTTTCTTTATACCACACTAAATTCCTCAGAAAGGGTTAGCTTTCCATGCTCTACCTTGCAACATTACCAGACAAATTTGCCATCTTCCTTGATAAAATGTCGTATGCTAGTTTAAAGAAAAAGATAATTCTGCACCAATGACTGATTGCCACACCTTCATTTGTCATCTAGGATGTCAAATTCATCTAGGAAAATGGCATTATTCTTCCGTGCTACATGTTCATTGCATTAAAGAAAATACAGATTTCACTGAAACTTATGATTTGCACCATTTATTATTAGTCGTAGACATAATTCATTGTTGTTAAACCATCTCGTCTAAGAGATCTTCAACATATCACATCTCATGCATGCCATATTTATATGTTCTCGTGAGCAAATTTCAAACTGTATACAACAAGCAAAGTCAATAGTTTAAGACTCGTTGCTAACCATTTATAGAAAACTGTATACATTTTAGGCTTTTTATGAATTAAATACAAGCTACATATGATGAAACGTGTATCGTGACTCTATAACAATTTAAACTTTTATATGAGATGATCCAACATAGTTTCTTTTCGTGCTTGTACGACCACAGATGATGTGTGTATTTTTTCTTATAAGATTTTGTACTTAACCTTTATTTTTCATTAAACTTAAGAACAATATGAAAATATGAAATATTACATTTTTCTTGCACTCTTGGATGGTACAAATTTCTCGTATGGAGAAAAAAAAAAGCTAAAATTATCATTCTTAGAATAATGTCAAGAAATGGATAGAGAGAGCTGAGGACATCATTAACTAATGTCTGGAAAGTGTTTATAATGATTTAAATTATATATAGATAGAAATAAATGGTGAATAGTGGGTAGTGTTGTAACATAGATGTTAATAAGTTTTAAATTTCAAAATTAAAGGTAATTTTAAATTTCAAATTTCTATTTTAATTTACATTTTAATACAAAATTAAAACTAATGATTAATGGATTATAACTTATACTTAAATTGGATTTATTTTCATGAATGTGAAGTTTATATTTGTCCCTATAAAACGAGTGGCGATTTCATTGTTTGATGCAAGATGAGAAAAACACAACTTAAAAGAATATCCTATATGCATTCTATATTTCTGTAGTTTTGGCAACTTAATAAAAAATCGCTCTTTATCTCCTTGTGGTCGTGCCCATAGAAAGAGAACCGGTTGTGAACCATATGGGTTTTATCTTGGAGCCATGTAGTGCCGAAAACACCCGCACGAAATGGGGCAACACGACTTTAGGACAACGTTTTTGACATGACTCACTAAGACATGTTTTCTAATTCTCTACTTATATTTTATATTTATATTATTGTTGAATTCTTATATTTATGTTATTTAATTGATTATCTTAATTGATAATAAATTTACACACAAATCACCCGTCTTTCCAACAATCTAAAATCGTATTGGTGATTTGTTTGTAGATTAAATATAGTGTGATTATCAAATTTAAAAGGCATTTTCTTGATTTGATGTATGTGATTGAATTATATGTTTATTAGTTGAATAATAATGAATATTACATGCTCTCCAAAAGCTTATGAATTACATTCATGTGAACTAGCTTCTTTAATAGTTGGGGATGGCCAATGTCTAAAGAAAAAGAAAATTCCTATGTTATTAACTAGAAAGGTGACCGGGAAAATGATCTTGTGCTGATTATATTTAATTATAATTAGACTTATTCACTTATTTACTTTTATGTACTTACACTTATAGTTGGATCTCAATGTTTATTGGGAATGCATTTCTTTCTTAATTCAATGTGTATATTTGATTGATGCTAATTTCTATTGTAAGTTGAAATATTTGAAGTTTATGCCCAGCAAATTAAACAAATAGTGAACATGTAACGGACGCTAAGATTTTCATTAACCTTCCTTTTGGTAATACTGATTTGAAGAACTAAAACTGAGACCTGTTTGACGCTATTAAAATTATAATTTATTTTTTTCTCTTTTCATACCAATCACACATTTTTCAATAAAATTTAAAATTTCAAATAACGGGGGGCCAAACGGGGGCATATTTAGGAGGGAAAGGGTTGGTCAAATCAATTCTGAGTAACGGGATGTGGTTATCTATTAGGACTGAAATATGATATGTAATATATTTGGTCTAATATGGTTTTCAATTGTTAATGGATTGAAGGTCAGAGATGCTACAAAATATGAGTGCTATGGCTGTCTTGGTATACATTGAAAATTAAATTTTAGAATTGAGGAAGAAGGGTAATCATATATGGTTATATATGCTGCTGGAATGAAATGATAGTGAAGTGATCTATCATCTCATGCCAATTATATTCCATGAGAAGCTTTGCATGTTTCTGTAACAGTACACAAAAATGTAATTAAGCTTTGCAACTTATATCCAACTCTAATGTTTCTAATGAGCTTCTATGTTACTGAATCTCAGCTAGAAATGTATAATTTCTATAAGAAGGATAAGATTAAACATAAGGCCCTGTTTGATACGCCAAA